GTTTAAATGAGTTACTCACATTTACAATTTCAGATTGTAACTGTTGACGTTTGACAGTTCTCACACCTTCGTCGAAGTACATGGTTTCCATGTCATAGCTGCAAGAAAAAGCAGTCAGATCAGAGATCGAACTGTATGAAACAAATGCCAAGATCATTTTCTTTATGTGCTTTCAAGAACTAATCAATTTCCACATAAACACTAATTGAAACAACCCCAGAGACCAAGACATTTGTACGACTATGCAGTACCAGAACAACCAAATAAATTCAGCTAACTCACATGACAAAATAAAACAAAAACCGAAAAAATAAACCATCAGCGTAAAAAGTAAGAAAAGGTTTCCTTTCTTTTGAGATTTCTATCAAGTGATGCCATGGTACAGTACAAATGAATGGCGGTTTTAAGAAGTGATGTAAACATTATGAATTATATATCTTCCGAGTTTTCCTACTCCTAAACTGTGTTGTGCTCGGGTTATTTTATAATTTGCTGTGGAAAAATAGTCACCAAAGCAGAAAAAAGTTGTGGGGAAAAGGCAAAAACTGGTTCAAAAAGCTTGATTACCATAAGACATAGCAGCATGGTAACACGACGCAAATGGCATTATAAGGAACCGCGTGCATTAATTGATCAATATGTTGGGTAACAGTTTAATATCCATATAGGCAGTACATGATGTGCATCAAAACAATATAGAACCTCAGACTTATGGGGACAAACAAACAAAGAACGAACATGCGTGCAAGGAAAATGTGCATTACACTGCTGAAGCAAATGAACAGCACGTAATTAAACTAACAGGTTCAGGGGTATGCTAATTGAGAAGACAAACATAATGAATCATGGTAATCAATGTGATTATCATAACTTTCTAGGAAGACCCTTGCCGGGAAAACTAGTCAATCACTCACTCTAATAGATAAAAATCAATAATGTCGCTAAGCTTCATGCCAAAGCTTCGTACTGGACCGGATGTTACAGCTGCCTCCAGCTCCAACCAACCCTGCAGAGCGAAATAATTAATTCCCATGGTGCTAGCTAAAGAGAAGATTAAGAACTATAACATAAGAGCAAAGGTAACCTCATCCAACATAAAACATCTAAGCTTTTCATCCGCAATGTCTTCACAACGAACAGTAGCAACCATGATCTAGAAAATGCAGGAAGAAAAAACAGTGAAATATATAATTTATATATGATATAAAAGGGATTTAGAAGCATGCTTAGGTACCCAATGAAGTGTTAGTTTTCTCAGACCACTGTCAATAAAAATACAATGACCTAACCTTGTGAGCGGGAAGGTTAAGGTCCTTATTTTCTCGTATTACTTTCCAGATATGCATTGCGCTAATACAGAAACCTGAAGCAGGTATGACACCTCTTCTATCAGCTGCTAAACCACCAGGATCGATTGAATGAATAAACTTGTGCCTGAGTTTCCCAACCTGCAAGTAAGTAAAAAAGGTAGGAAACGGTAGAGTACAAGGTCTTCCCCATAAAAAAAAGAGAGAGAGACTAGCTTGAGTTATTGATTCTACACAAGACGTCTAAACTAAAATATAGTTGCAACCAGCATGTGACAGAATAAGCATGTTAGCTTCTAACATACCTGCTCCTTAAATAGTTCTTCGTTCTCTTCATAACTTGACAATGCGGTGACCTCCACCTTTATATTGAACAAAATATATGTCAGTTGATATATGCAAGTCCCATTTTCAGTGAAAGTCATGCACTTACATTGAAGAATTCGCTTAGCGCAGCTTTCTTGAAGACTTCTGGTTTGGGAACAGAATCCCATATCTATTACAAACAGAAAAAAAATTGTGAATATTCCAATATGACAAAGCAGAAAAGGAAGGTGAGCAGAATGTAAGATAAGAAAACCTTGTGGATATCCTCCTTTAGAGCCTGGGCAAGATACTCTACGGGAGTCTGCAAATAAGAAGAAAATAATAATAATGAAATCATACAAATTATGCACGAGAATTGAGTGCCACTCAGTTGGCTAGCAGCTTATGCGCTTGCTACGCACACGTGGGTTCAAGACTTGGCCTCCATGCGGTGCCTCACAGTTGTTTTCCTAAATAAAAATGCCACAGGTGCTAGTTCCTCTTGGTCGAGTTTTATTTCTATATAAGCATGGCTATGTGCATGTAGAGGCCGGGAGAGAGATTTTCTTCCGTTGTCTAAAATACTAGAAGTTATGCATCTCTGACTCGGTAGTAGAGGAACAAAATTGTGTGTCTCGGTCTCTAGAACTGTACTAACCTTTGTTTTATCACGGATCACAAGCAGTAGCGTCGTTTTCCGAGGGCTGAATAAACGCATCAAAACCTCAAATAGAGAAAAATAACTCATAAGAAACTAACACACATATGTAGTCAAAATAAGTACTTCATGTCTGATTGCAACCGAGTTACCTCAAATATAGTTTTCAAAAGAGGCCTGTTAGCCGCATGTTCTCGGCCTATGTCATGACACCACCTGCAGAGTGCACATTTACAATTAGCAATCCACATGAAAAGGTTGAGCAAAATTGCTCTCTACTCATTGCAGTAATTCAGTTATAATTCACCAACTAAAGATTACTCAATGACATCAGCAACTCACAAATTTATCATTACAATATCAGAAACTGCAAGAGCGAAAAGGGCACTCTGCTTCTCAAAGGCTGTATCATCCTGCACGAGTAACACAAGGCACCAGTTAATAATCGTCGCTGGAATGTAACTTAATACTAAGAATTAACAATACCAACCAGTGAAAAAACGGAAATAAAAGGTGAAGCTCCTCATTTCAACAAAAGAAATATCAAATGTATGGTCAGAAGTGACGATATGTATCCTTTAAGTTGACGGTTTCATTTTGTCGAACTTGATACTTCGTAATAAACACTTTTAATAAAGACGTCTGGGTGCTCGAGAAAAAAAAAGATGGCTGACTTGCATTGCACAATGCAGAGGCCGGAGCCGCTCCCTCTTTTACGGAGAAAAAAAGTGGATGCCTGAAATTCTAGCTCAAACTGTCATAGGTGAAGGGACAGAGAACTTGCGAGAGTGTATTAGTTGGTTGCATTTCTAAGTATGTGCTCAAATCAGTTGCCTGGATTTAGGCTGCAAAATGGCAACTAGACGTACTATAGTGGCAAAATAGCATTTATAGCACACCACTGAGTGCTAAGAACCTCCATTTCGTACTGGAAACAAGAGCATAAATGTTATAGATCCTTGTAGAAAGTTAATAAGGGGACTAATGCAGCATGTGAATCACAGCAATTTTCTTCTCGGCATGTTAAGCACTCAGGTGGTACAAAGGAAATAAGTGACGCGTACTACTTTTGTGGACATTAGTCAACAAACAGTTAAGAGGCAGAGGACTGGATGAATGCTAAAGGTTGAGGAATATACAAGCCATCCAAACTATAAAATGAAAGTATAGCATGAAAGCCCAATTGCATGCATAACAATCTAAACATCGAACAGGCTTGCAAGTACAGTAGAAAACAAGTCACCTCCCCTCTTTCCCTCCCATCCGTCCCCTCCAAATCCATCACAAGAGTGAACGGCTCGATGCCAACAGCTTCGGCAACCCAAATCCCCTTGGTGGTCTGATTCCTGGCAGCAACAGCAGCAATGAAAAGACATAAAAGCAGCATTTAACATCACAATCACCAAATCGAACAATTTTTGAAGAAAAAGGAAACTCGGCGTGGATGGCGTTTACCTTCCTTTCAAGGCATCCATCTCGGTGAAGCTTGTCCCGAAGAGATGGTTGAGCAGGGTGCTTTTCCCTGCCCGGTGAACAAAGTAGGCATCAGGAACGGCTTCCGAAATGAACTAGCACCTAAACAAAATCGCCACCGCACGACAAGTTCACATCACGCTAGAGGGAACTCAACCGACCGCACCGCTAGAGGATAGGATGCGCACTACGGAAACGAGCATACGGATTAATAACTGCGTAAACGGAAACCTGTTTAATTTATCGCTCTCCATTTTCTCATCGCCGTGAACCCCAAAGAGACAGTTGCATCCTCCCCTCACAAATCCCAACACAAGGAGCTGAATATTTCCGCACGGCAGAGGATGTGGGCTCACCGCTGCCCTGGGGCCCAAAGATGGAGACGACGGCGTAGGAGAGGCCGCGCTGCACGAGCCCCGCCGCCGCCGCGAACCGCTCCAGCGCGGGGCCGTCCATCTCCCCCTCAGCGCCCACCACCTGCGCCGTGTGGCGCTCGGAGCCATCGGCCGCCATGGCAAGAGTCGCGGGGAAGCAAAGGATCGAAGCGAGAGGCTTCGCTTCGCGCGCAGGCGCGGCAGAGGGGAAGGGGAGAGGGGGGGCAGGTGGCCGCGCTAGGCGAGCGAGGGTTTTATGCTTGATGGTTTTAATTAACGGGAAGGAGAAGATGGCGTGGCGGCGGGCGGCCCGACTCGACTAGAACGACCACGGCTCACCCTTCCGGCTCTTTCCATTTCCGCAACAGCTCTTCCTTTGAGTCCGACGCTGGACTTCCTTTTCTTTCCTTCTCTTTCTTTTAAAATCAAGGTAAAAGTTTTGTCTCATTCATTAATTAAAATAGAAAAAAGTTTGTTACAAGACACCCAAAAACACGGCATGCGGATTACTCGCATGAAATAAAAGACCCTAGCTTCTTTTCACCGGCGACGACCTAAAGGTTAGCCTCGGTAGAGATGGAGGAGAGCAAGATTGGCGGTGGAGCACTCTTATGCTTAAACACTCTTGCATTACGCTCGTTTCAAATTATCCATGAGACGAGCATGATGAGGGAGGCCTTGGCTTGACGGTTCGGCGTGCCCTCGGCAGAGGTGCTTGCCCACCACTCCTCCACCGAGTCGAACAAGGGCCAAGCAGAACTGTCAAGCCCGTGCATGATGAATTTCTCAATGGCCAAAGACCAAAGACGTCGTGTGTAGCAGCACTTATGGAAGAGGTGAGGCCCGCACTCTTGTATCGTCATGCAAAGAGGGCAGCGATCGCAATTTGGCCACCCACATTTTGCCAATCTATCGGTCGTTCAAATTATGTCTTGAAGGGCTAACCAAGCAAAAAAAATGACTTTGGAGATGCTCAAACCTTCCAAACCATTTTGTCCAAGGGAGAAAGGATCGTCCCTAGGAACTATGCCCTGTACGCGAAGGTCGTCGAGTATTGTCCACAGGTCGTGTGTTTCTAAAGGATGCCATCCTCGGTGGGCTCGTCAAGACAGACCTCATTTAGTAACATCCACAGAGCGAAGAATTGTGTGATG